CAAGATGGCCGCGCCCAAGCTTTGCGGCCCGGTAAAAAATGATCCACGGACCGGTACCGGTCCGGGGACCGGTGGTTGGGGACCCCTGCTCTAGAGTAGTAACATCCACAGGACTCTGGTAGAAGCAGTGGTGGGCTGTTGCCAGTTTGGATGAGTTCTAGTGAACTGGTAATTTCAACCATCAGCTGGCCCATGATCCACCCCTGCCCTATGTGTCCTATATTTCCTTCTTTCTGGTTTAGCTGATTCATGTGGCACAGCCGATTTCCATACCTCAGCTGCCCTAGAAGGTGAGCTTCAAATTGCTGTATTTTGAACATTGCGTGTGCGTTAGACATGTGCTCACAGAACTGATTGTTAAACCAGTTGCAGCCCACCACTGCTTCTACCAGAGTAGAAGCCACAAAAACATGAGCATCATGACATTATTTCACAAGAAGAGTTCTCCACTCTTCTACTCGTTATAGAATACCTTATGCCACCAGACTTGAAATTCTAGAACTAGAAAACCTTGAATTACGCCGTCTTCGGTCTGACTTAAGCATGGTATATAAAATCATACATTGCAATGTCCTACCTGTCAATGAATACTTCAGCTTCAACCATAACAACACAAGAGCACACAATAGATACAAACTCAAAGTAAACCGCACCAAACTTGATTGCAGGAAATACGACTTCAGCAATAGAGTGGTCAATGTCTGGAATACTCTACCCGACTCTGTAGTCTCTTCCCCAAACCCCAAAAACTTTAACCTTAGACTGTCTACTATTGACCTCACCCCTTTCCTAAGAGGTCTGTAGGGGGCGTGCATAAGCGCACCAACGTGCCTACCGTCCCTGTCCTATTGTTTCTCTTATTCTTTTATTTTTCTTATATGTACCCATTTCATGTATTCACAACTATGTATACACTTATACTTATTATCTTGTAAACAATTGGCAAATCAAATAAATAAAATAAATAAATAAATAAATTATAATACAAAAGATGCATTCTATCATTTTGGTCATTTCTTTTCTTCTTTTACTGTCTGCAAATGCCTACTTTTTTCTGAACACAGTGACCAATCATCCTCTCTTCCTCGTTCCTATTCTTGTTCGATTTTCATTTAGTAAATTTGTATGAACAACTTTCCATTCCTATCTCATCCTTTCTTACTGGGTCTATGACAACTTGCCATGGCCAAACTACTGTGGCCAATTCATTACAAAATAACTTGCCATAGCCAAGGGACAAGTCACCATGGAATTACAGTAATAAAGAAGAAATCATGCTGCTCTCAAAAAAGATATCTTATTTGTATTATGTTTTGTAAAAATCCAAATAAAACTTTTACAAAAAAGAAAAAAAAAAAAGAAATAGTGGAATAGAATCATTTAAAAAAAGAATGCCAAAGGAGAGACAATGAAATGTGAATGCCAAAAATCAAAACAATTTTTAATTATTTTAAGTATTATTATAAATTGAATTATTAAATTGACCCACAGCAAGTTGTTCCATGGTGAGTTGACTATGTAGAGTTGACCCACAATTAATTGGCCATGGTGAGTTGACTGTGGTAAGTTGGCTATGGTGAGATGTCCCATTCTGCTGTTACTTGTACAATGTATTCTAATATTTTCTTTAATTATTTGGTTTTCTTGGTTGTTCTACTTCCCTTGTTAATTTATTCCAGTTGAAATGTGTAATTAATTAGTTCCAATTAGCTTCAATTTTCAACTTTCTAAAATATACGTAATTAATACAGGTGCAAGTGGGTTGTTTGATTTGTTTGTATGCAGAATGCACAGTTTCCTTTTGGATATGATTACAGAGGTGTGTGTGTGTGTGTGCGTGTGCGTGTGCGTGTGCGTGTGTGTGCGTGTAAAGAGCTGGGACATGTTTAGTCCAACAATACTTTACCAAGGATTAACAATGCATATAATGGCCTACACAACCAATTGCTACAGTTTAAAAATGATTTGAATTGGAAATCCTGTCCAACTGAGTTCTAAATTTCAATTCATTTAAGTAAATTAAGTAACCAAAATTGGAAAACAAAAATGTGGGGTCTTTAGTAAAGAAATGTTTAAAGGAATGCAATTTAATCCCTTTCACCAATCAGTTTCTGATTTTCATGAATCTGTTGAATTTTAGCCCCAGACAACAATTTTATCATATTTTACAATTACTTAAATTTCATTTTAAAAGTAGTGTTAAGTGTTTTTTTTCACATGCTAGATAATTGGAGAGCTCAGTTTTCCTTGATTTGGGATGGCTGGATTATACCAACATGGCACAGATATTTAAACCAACTTTGAGGAAGTCCAAATGGACTCAACACAGTACTAGTTAATGCATTTTATCCACAAAAGTCTTATCTTTTTTTTAAGTGCGTCCCTATTTTTTAAAAAAATGAGGCTGTGGTTTTACATGTCTATATTCAACCAATTCAACGCAAAGCAATGCAAGGTGATCTATGAAATTTTTGTGCTGTATTACAAGGCATAAGCTGATATTTCAAATGGTTTTCCATCTAAAACTCTTTTGGAGGTTGAATAAACTATCACTATACTGATCAAAATATTTTGAAATATATAACTCTCTTCTTCTGGCTTAGTTTGCATACTGGAAACAAATGTGAAACACTACTGAAGATATCTAAAACCAGCCTCCTGTATAAATTGATATTGATCAAAGGTCTACCATTTCATTCTTTGTAACAACTCTAGAACTCTTAAGAGTGTGTTTTATGAATGATGATGCATTCTATAAAATCTTGATTCTGTTGTGCCTTGTTTACAAATGACACAAATGCATGCCAACTGAAACATATTGCTTCAAACAAATACAATTTTGGGGTGGGGGCATTAATTTCACATTTTATGGAATCTTAACGAATTTCTTTGTTTAGTATGAACTTGACTGGCTGTTTAAAGACTGAAATATTCAAGTCAATGAAGCATTGTTGGTATCTTTGGGTTTCAGCCTGGAATCCAGCAAATAATAATGATTTATGCCTTATCTTGTCTCACTCTACTGCAACAGATGTCATTATAGCAGATGTCAGACTCATTATGACACAATATGATTTGCCTCAAAATACAATATCAGAAAACATTATCCTTGTAATAAAAAAAAAACCTGCCATAATTTCCTTCTCCCATCTATTATATGTTCGGTGGCTGAGATGTAGGATTTCCACCTACATCTGACAAAATAACTTGCTGCTGCATTGTATATTTTCAATGAAAATTGTAGAAAACAAAAACAAATATTTCAGAGTCTGATACTTGAATGGCTGTAGCATAGGTTCAGTTAAAATTGGGTTGCTTGGCAGCAAAGACAGCTCTGCATGATATAATTATACAGAAAACCTTAAGATTTTTGTTCAAACAATATAGCTGGTGGGTAGCAAATCCATCAGGAGGTTGTTGGCCTCTCCTTAAGTGTACAGGTATTACCTTTTATGCATGTTTTAATAAACCTAACTGGACAACTATTTTTGCACTTGGTTGCTTTGTAATTTAAAAATAATATTATATACTGTTATAGATAAATAAACTTAAAAAAATCAGATCTAAAATATTGTGATTGGTTAGATATTGATAGATATAATTATTTTGGCTGCAAAGTCCAAGCAGACAAAAAAATGGACCCCATGAAGGTCGGTATGACAAAAGTGTATGTTTTATAACTTTTAGAATCCATGGTAATTTATGATCAAAAAGACTGAATCTTGGGACAAACTTCACTGTAGCATTCTGAAGCTCAATGGAGCTAGCTTATTAAACTGTGAAATAAATGATAAAGTAGAAATGTCCATGCTAATCTTTAAACTAATACATTAAATAAAATAATTTATCTTTATCTGCCATCTACTCTTTCACAATCTTAGCTATAAAAAGCTAAGCTCTATAAGCCTACCTGCAGATCTTATAAAATGTAATCTTTAGAATGTTGCTTTTATTTGTTCACATCCCAGAAATATATCATGAACAGCATATAGATTGTGTACAATGTAATCTTAATAATGTATCTTCATATTCATTGTCAGTCTTTCCACAAAATAGAAAGATGAAGAAGTTCATGGTCTATGTTGATGAGGAATTTTAGTGATCATTGCAAGAAGAATGAAATGCTTACTCAGGCATTACTTAAATGGTTCATGACATGTTCCAAAATGGGAATGGAACTGAAGTTCAAGTTTAGAGAAAGACATCGATTATGATCACATGGTTATGATTAGTGTTATATTCTGGGCATGGGTGCAAGGAACTGAGACGAGTCAGAGAATTAGTGAACTTCAACTCTTTATTAAGGATCAGGAACAGAGCAAAAACCCTTGGGCAGCAGCAGCCCTTTTATAGAGCTAGCTACTGACCCATTAACCAATGACCTGTGTCGAAAGGCTTAACTTAGGCCCAATGAGAGATGTTAAACTAATAGCCAATCAGGTTGCTCCATGAGGACCAATCCCTGTTCGCTATCCAAGGGCCAATCAAAAGTGCAGGGTTTCAAGCCTGCTTATCATGAGGTTTGATAAGTTTTATTAAATGGTTTTTTGTTAGTTCATAACACCCCTCCCCCCTAGGTTCCGTTTGAGGGGTGCGGTAACATACTCGTGTAGATATGCAGGTCGTTTCACCTGCCTGTTTGATTTTCGCAGTTCCACCGATTTTTGTCTGCAGTCCGATTCCGGTGGAATGCTATCAAGGTTTTCTGGTACGGCTAGTTCTGTTTCCGCACGGGAGGACTCGGCGCGGCTCTCGTTGTTGTTATCCCAGTCTCCTAGGCTTACTTCCGGGTCCCGTGGGCTTGCCTCCCTCGTGCTATTTCTGGGCGGAGATATCACCCCGCTCCCTGATTCTTCTTCAGGTTGTGCGTTTCTTCGGTTAGGTTGCTGGGTCCCCATGATTACGTCATCATCTATTCCGTTTTCGGCCTTCTCGATATCCCCTCCCCCCTTAGTTTGTGAATTAGGGAAGTCACAGGAGGTGGGTGCCAATCTGGATCGAAGTTGATCTATATGGCGTTTCCATGCTCTCCCATCATTAGTCTGTAGGCGGTAGGATCTGGGGCCGGTGGGTTGGGTAATAGTTGCAGGGACCCATAATGGGTTGCCAGAAAAGTTTTTAGCAAACACCAAGTCGCCTAGCTTGAATTCGCAGCATTTCCCGCTGGATCCAAAGGGTTTTTCTGGTGAATAAGAGGGGTGGAGGCGGTCGAGGTGAGAGCGAAGTCTCCGCCCCATTAGCAGTTCGGCAGGCGTCTTATTCGTGATGCTGTGTGGGGTGATGTGTTGGAGCAGGAGTATGCAGTTGAGCTTGTCGTCGATGTCCCCATAGTCCATTTTATGTAGGTTTTTTTTGATGAATTGTACCATTCACTCCGCCCTTCCGTTAGCCGCAGGGTGCGCTGGCAAGGTGAGCGCGTGGCGGATGCCCCGGTCTGCTAGATACTGTTCAAAATCTAGGGCCATGAACTGGGGCCCGTTATCAGAAACTAAAACGTCTGGTAACCCATGCGTTGCGAATAATTTATTCAGTTTATTAATGACTGACTCTGTTGTGGTTGTCTTCATCTTCTGGATTTCTAGCCAGTTTGAATAGGCGTCAACTGTTAATAAAAACGTGTGTCCTTTGGTGGGTCCCGCAAAATCAACGTGGATATGGGACCACGGACCCCGAGGGGTTTCCCACTTGGTTGGCGTCGCTTTAGGTGGGGTGTTGCTAACGTCTTGGCACTTCTGGCACGTGGTTACCCAGGCTGCAATCTGCTTATCGATGCCTGGCCACCACACGTAGCTTCGTGCGAGCGCCTTCATGCGGACGATGCCCGGATGTCCCTCGTGTAATACTTTTAACACAGTCTGTTGTAGTCTCTCTGGGACGACTACTCTATCCCCCCAGAGAACGCAACCTCTCTGGGAGAAAAGCTCTGTCTGCCGATTCTTGAACGGTGCGAAATTGTCGTGGATTTGGTCGGCTGGCCATCCTCGTTCAACCCAGCTGAGGACTCGCGCCAGGACAGGATCCCGTTTTGTCTCGATGGCGATGTCTCTCGCTGTTAGTGGCGGCGAGTGCAGCGTTTCGATTTGGAGCGTCGTGAGGGTTGGAGCTGGGTCGTCGATGGCTTCCGGAAGTGGAGAATGACTCAACGCATCAGCGTTTGAAATGGCTTTCCCCGGGCGATGTTGCAACAAATAATTGTAGGCAGCTAGGAACTCAGACCAACGAGTCATTCTTGGCGATAATATATAGGGGGTTGGCTTGTCTCCCGCTATAATACCAAGCAATGGTTTGTGATCTGTGACTATCGTAAATGCTCGTCCATACACGTATTCGTGAAAGCGCTTCACAGCAGACACAACAGCAAGGACCTCTTTATCGAGTTGGCTATAGTTCCTTTCGGCCTTTGACAATGTTCGTGAGAAGAACGCAATAGGTGCTTCATTTCCGTTTGGTAGTACATGGCTTAAGATTGCTCCCACTCCAAACGGTGAAGTGTCGCAAGTAATAGTTAAAGGTAAAGTCTCGTTGTACTGCATCAAAACAGCGTCGGAGGTTAGCAAGTCTTTCACTTGTTGGAAGGCGCGTTCCTCTCGAAGTCCCCAGACCCAGGTAGCACTTTTATCAAGAAGTCTGTGTAAGGGCTCCGCTACAGTCGCCTTCTGGGGCAAGAAAATGTTGTAGAAGTTAATGAGCCCCAGAAAGGCTTGGAGGTCTGTTCTATTTTTGGGCGTTGGGGCGTTTTTAATCGCTTTTAGCTTGTTATCAGTGGGATGGATTCCTTGACTATCGAGAAGGTATCCCAGGAACTCCACCCTCTCAGTACACAGTTGACATTTATTTTTTTTAACCTTCAGGCCGGCGTCTTTAAATTTCTTTAGAACCATTCTGAGATGCTTTTCTAAGATATCTCTATTAGGGGCGGCGATTAAAACATCATCAAAATATGGTACGATCCCTTTTATGCCTTGTAAGAGTCTCTCCATTAAACTTTGAAAGATTCCCGGAGCTACGCTCACTCCGAATTGGAGTCTATTGCACTTAAAAGCACCTCTATGCGTAACGATAGTTTGCGCTTCCGCAGTTTCCGCATCAACGGGCAACTGTTGGTACACTTGTGCCAAATCCAATTTAGCGAATATCTTCCCACCACCCAGGGAGTGGAGAAGGTGTTGAACCACCGGTACCGGGTAAGCACTTTGCTGAAGTGCGTGGTTCAAAGTGGCCCGATAATCCCCACAAATCCTTAACAATCCATCTGGTTTAATGGGTGTTACAATTGGGGTTTCCCAACGGGCGTGGTCGGTTGGTTCTAAAACGCCCTGGGCTATTAATTTATCGAGTTGCTCGTCGATCTTTGGTTTTAGTGCAAAAGGCACCCGACGAGGCTTAAGGCGGATGGGAGCTACTTCAGGGTTGAGGTTAAACAATATTGGGGTCCCCTTGTACTTGCCTAGTTCGTCTGAAAAAACGTCCTGGAATTCTTGGACGAGAGACTCCTCCCAGTCGTTGCTCTCAGCTCGGTGGACGCCGGCTACCTCGATCCCGAGCGGGGCGAACAATTGTAGGCCTAATAAGCTAGGCTGGTCACGATCGACGACAGTTAGCGGTAGTGATGCGATACGATTCTTGAAGGAGACTTGTACTTGGCTGGAACCGACGACCGGGATTCTGTTGCCCTGGTAATCCTTGAGTATGATCCTTTGGGGGCTGAGGTCCTGACGACGGATGGCCGGGATTAGTTGCTTGAAAGTTTTCCAGGAAACCATTGAGAGGGACGACCCCGAGTCGACTTCCATCACGCAAGGTTGGTTCTCAATGGCGACCTTCACTCGGATCTTTCTTGCATCTAAGGATGTAGCGTGGCCGATGGTAATGGTTTGGTGTGCCTCCTCTTGTCTCGTTGAAGAGGCAGGTGTCTTATTTCTGTAGGAGTGGTTGTTCCATTGGTGGTTCTGGTGGTTCCGATTCGTGGACGCGAATCCCGAAGACTGGCTGCAGTTATTCTCCCTGCGCTTTGGACTGGACCCTTGCTTGCTTCTGCAGACCTTTGCAATGTGGCCTCTTTTTCCACAGGAATGGCAGAGTGCGTCGAGGAATTTGCAACCGGATCATGGGTGGTTTGCCCCACAACCCGCACATTGTCGCGGGAATCGTTGGTTTTGTTGGTCTCGTTCGGACCGGAGTCGGTTGACCTCTTCCTCATCACTTTCTGATGGGGATTCCAGGTCTTCATGGTGCGCCGTTGTTGAGTGCCTCTCAGGGCGAGGCGAGGTGTCATTCGCGAGTTGACGGAGCGGTGCGTTGGTGCGGCGCATTCGAGCGGCCGACTTCCTGGTTGCTTCTGCTGCAGTAGCGTCTGTGATGGCATCGGCAAGATCGATGTCCCCTTTGGCCATGATCTTGCTCTGCACCGTCTGGTCATCTAATCCCAGAACTATGTGGTCTCGCAAAGCTTCTTCGAGGTTGGAGAACCCACAGAGGCTCCCAAGTTCCGGAGGTCAGCGATGTAGTCTGCGAGACTTTCGCTTTTCCATTGGTCCCTCTGGTAAAATTCGTGTCTTCGGACAAGTGTGGGCACTATGGGTGCATAGTGGGCCTTTAGGAGGGGAGCGAGGGCGTCCCAGTCCATTGATTTCACCTCAGCCGGTTTTGCAAGTGATTTCGCCATCTTAAATATGGCCGGCCCGCAATGGGTCAGGAATATTGCTCGTTTCTTTCCGGTTGTCGCGTCCTTTAAGTTATTGGTCTCCAGAAACATCTGGAACCGATCCATATATGAGTCCCAGTCTTTGTTTGCCGGGTCAAATGGAGCGGGTGGTATAGCACCGCTGGCCATGTTGCTGTCGTTGGTGCGTGTTCAGCCACGTGCTCTGTTTGGTGCTCTTTAGTGTTCAGTCAGCTCTATCGTCTCTTGCATCCCACCCTTGTCGCCAGTGTTATATTCTGGGCATGGGTGCAAGGAACTGAGACGAGTCAGACAATTAGTGAACTTCAACTCTTTATTAAGGATCAGGAACAGAGCGAAAACCCTTGGGCAGCAGCAGCCCTTTTATAGAGCTAGCTACTGACCCGTTAACCAATGACCTGTGTCCAAAGGCTTAACTTATGCCCAATGAGAGATGTTAAACTAATAGCCAATCAGGTTGCTCCGTGAGGATCAATCCCTGTTCGCTATCCAAGGGCCAATCAAAAGTGCAGGGTTTCAAGCCTGCTTATCATGAGGCTTGATAAGTTTTATTAAATGTTTTTTTGTTATTTCATAACAATTAGTTAGGAATTTCCTCATCTTTTAAATTTCCTAGTAATCATAGCAATTTATTTTGTAAGAATAACAAGCATGAAGTTGCTTTCATTTCAAACTTTAGCTAACTTAATAATAATTCAAAGGCTTCTCCTACCTCTTCTCTCTCTCTCTCTCTCTCTCTCTCTCTCTCCCTCTCTCTCTCTCTCTCTCTCCCCCCCTCTCTCTTTCTACTTTTTTGCTTTTTCTCTGTTCTACTTTCATAGTAAATTAAATTAGCTAGAATATCCAGGAGATATTTTAAAAACTTCAAAGCATGTCCACAAATAATATACAGTATAAAATAGGTGCAGTATGAATACCAATAGAGCTTGAGATTTAAGTTCAGGAATCATTTGTTTAATGAATTGGATTTGTTTCAGAGGCTTAAAACCCGAATAGAAAACACATACAAGCATGCACACACAAATCAAAGGTGCAAATCCACCACCACCCAGCACAGATAAACTCCGTGGCTAAAACACTAATTACTAGAACCAAACGCCTGGCAGACAAGATACACATTAAGACTGAACTATGCACCCTGACCAAAGTACTGACAGCCAACGGCTTTCACAAAAGCAAAATCACCAGCTTGATCCACAAAAACACACTGAGACATAATAAAGACCCAGAAGATGAACAGACCTATGGAACAGCTGTCCTGCCCTACATAAGAGGCACTACAGACAAAATTAGTAAGATACTACACAGACACCACATCAAGACTGCCTTCAAAACAGACAGAAAAATAGCAGCCATCCTCAGAAACCCCAAAGATAAAATTGACCTGGAAAACCAAGGCATATACGAAGTCCCCTGTGCATCATGCCCAGCCACATACATTGGACAGACCAATAGAAGAATAAGTACCCGCCTGGATGAACACAAAAATGCAGTCAAAAAGCTGGAACACACTTCCTCACTAGTCCAACACATGGAAGCCACAGGTCATAGCATCAACTTCAATGGCACCAAAATCCTAGCCACTATAGAAAACCCCAGCCACAGAATCATCAGAGAAGCCATAGAGATTGAAAAAAGACCAGAAAGCATGAACAGAAGAGATGATTCCACCAGACCGTCAATCATTTGGAAGCCTGCACTCACAAACAAAAAAATCTCCACACCACAAGCCAGGCAAACACCTGTGCACAAACAGATCCCCCCTGATACCTCCAGCTCAAACACACCCCAACCAGGCACCCAGATGAAACCTAGCTTCCTAACTAATGATAGCCGTCCATTTACCCGGAGCCAAGCTGCACTAAAGGCCTCCAATAAAGTAACACAATGTTGCCAGCCAATCAAGATACAAAAAGAGCCAAAAAAACAGACAGAAGATATTAGAAACACCAATCAAGCAGAACACAGCAAACTCCAAGACCAATAAACACAGACCAAGACTCTCAACCAATCAGGATGAAGAAAAAACCATTCTGGCACAACAATAGGCTGCCCCAAATTCAAATCTGAAACCACTGTAAAAGCCTGACTCACAGATGAACA